AGGTACGGACTTAGTTTTTTTTTATTTGGCTGAAACTTCTATCTAGATTTATTTGGTAAATGTCGAAAAACTGCTGTACGTGGTTCGGATAAGCTCACTTTGTAGCCTATTTCAGGTGAAATTTTACGACAGTCATATCTAGTTCCAAAAGTTTAGAAGATTACGAAATACCAAACAGTATTTGACGAGCACTATCTAGCATAACTCCTCAGCACCAAACAGTTTTTGACGAGCACTATCTAGCATAACTCCTCAGCACCAAACAGTATTTGAAGAGCACTATCTAGCATAACTCCTCAGCACCAAACAGTTTTTGATGAGCACTATCTAGCATAACTTCTCAGCACCAAACAGTATTTGATGAGCACTATCTAGCATAACTCCTCAGCACCAAACAGTATTTGACGAGCACTATCTAGCATAACTCCTCAGCACCAAACAGTATTTGATGAGCACTATCTAGCATAACTCCTCAGCACCAAACAGTTTTTGACGAGCACTATCTAGCTTAACTCCTCGGCATTTCTTTACTTTGAATGAGTTTTTTTTATCATTTCAGCCAACAAGGCCATAAACAATAAGCATTGTACATGAAAAAACATAAAACTAGTACACAGTTTTGTTATGTGGATAACGTAAAATGCACTCTACTAGTTATATATATTTATATTTCAAACTCCTCCTTTGTATTGAGCCTTATTTTTGTTTTCTCGAAATCGTAAATCCGACATACGTTATCTGAAATTTGATGATCTTTTGTTGCATGTACAGTTTTAAGTTTTTTCATTCAACTCAAAATAAACAAATAATAACATACCGTTATGGTCTGAACGCCTTTTACAAGCTGGCGAAGCATAATTACAGTTGTACTTGTCATAAGAAGTTAGTATTCCAAACACACTGTATTCACCATACCCAGATACATTGGAGTTGGAATACTAATATCCCTAAGGGACGATAAAGAATGTATTGTTTAAAGATATTTTAGGCCTCATTCTAATGTTTTATGACAAGTATAATAAAAATAACGTATTATTCTGACTAGTCTTATTTCCAACAGATTTGAGTAAATACATATCTTGCTAAAATTTAAAGGAAGACAGAATTATTCGAAATCAAATGATTAGAAAGTGAACACTAAAGTGAAAACCTGCCTTTAAAGAAAAACGTTTAAAAATTAAAATTCTTTGATTTGAGAATATGCCTTTAAGAGCGTATATCTGAACTGATCGAAATCCGTAAAGCCAGAGTGTCGTTAATAGACGAGATCAATTGTTGTTAAGATCAGATATTGATTGATTGTCCTAAAATAAGATTATAGGATTAGAAAATGCTTTCTGGATTCCTAGAACTGGTCAAAACTCTTAAAACGTGAATGTGCCTCTTAGGAGAAGATTCGAAATCACTGTTTGGGAAATAAGAAATTTTGTAACAGTAGAAAATTCTTAAATAAAAGTATGCCCTTGAGGGAGAAAATCTGATACTTCTAAAAATACCAATTAATTATGCGGACAAAAAATATTCTGGTGACCCTGTTACACCCCCATGTTTAGCTCCTGCATCATCGAAAATTAGTACGTGCAGAGAGTTGAGTATGTTATATTAAAACGACTTTGGAGCTTCACCACGTCGTTACATTACTTATCGTTACGTCCAGTCATTTCCTATCCGACAACCGTGAATTTTGACAACAATTCTGCATCGTAGGTTTAAAATAATTCCATCGTCTACTTCTTGTATCTAAAACACACCACTTCTACATGATCCATTTATAGTAGAAGAGAGATGGTTTTTCTAGCGCCCATTTCAACAATATAATCGTACAGAAATCCATCAGTGTTGTGCCTGG